GTCCTGGATGGTCGCATGATGACAGAGATGGAGGCAGGGAGCCTGGAACAATCCGTCAGGGTACTTTCATCCGTAGATTTCCGTCCAGTCTGTGAAAAATGTTTCTCAAGATACCTAGTTTGAATGCGTGGGGCTTGAGGGATCGGAGTAAAGCCGCCCGCCTGCTTCGTGATCTCCTGTTCTTCGGCGTAGATATAGCTGAGATACAGGAAACGCACTTTGTTTGCGAGGTTGATGCTGGTGTGCTGTCTAGCGACTATGTTGTCTATTCAGCATACGTAGACCAGCCGGACAGAAGTGTTTCCTTGCTGGTTAAACGTACCTTGGATGCGAAGGTGGACGTTGTCCATGTCGATGCGGGATGCTGGTTGATCTTGGCCGATATTGTCATGAACAGTAGTCCGTTTCGGGTCGTTGCGATTTATGCACCCAACGATCGAGCAGAGCGGGTCTCATTTTTCCGACAGTTGAGGCCGTTGCTGTTTGATCTTAGTCTGGTTGATCTGATCAGCGAGTTTGGTCTCGTCGATAAATACCGGGTCGATCACCCTGGGCGGGAGATGTGGACTTGGACTCGTAAGTGACCATCTATCCAGGTAGCCAGCTACCTGAATAGAATGTTAGTGAGAACGGCCGTTATATAGATTTGCTAGATTGCCCCACGTTCCACTGGTTAGGCTGTTCAGACCATAGACTCGTCTGTGTCCGAATAGCGTTAGATGCTAGGTCTAGAATGGCTGGACACTGGAAGTTCAATCTGTCTTTACTGGACAGGCGGAATTTCCAGCAGCAGCTAATTAGACTAGTGCGGCGGAAACTAGTGGGGCGGTTATTGCCAATAGGTGGTTGGGGAGGGCTTAAGGATAGGATTAGGTCCTTCACCACCGAATATAGCAAGCGGTTCATATTAGATAAGGCTAAAAAGGTGAAGACACTTAAAAATAGTCTTCCCCAGGTAGAGGCTGAGGGATCCCTAGAGATAGGTTTAGCTAGGTAGGCTCTGGAGCGCGCGGCTAGCTAGCGCTACCAAAGTCAGGGAGTTAGACATAGGTTAAACAAGATGTCTAGCGAAGCCGTGATCATGGGCGCACAATTGCGCAAGGAAGAGATCCGTCGAGGCTCTGATCGTTACATTCGGGGGGTTCAAAACCCTGGGGGCGCGGACTCTGAGGTCGAGAGCCGGTTTACCAAGGATCCTGGTCTAAATGACGATGAGTTTCGCAGCTATTTGGCTGACTTTCCTCGGTTTTCGCCGACTGAAGCGGCTAGCTGCCAGGGTGAGATCACGGAGGGAGAAGTCTACTTGGCATTGAAGAGGGTCAGCAGTGGCAAGTCTCCGGGACTTGATGGTTTCCTCTATGAATTGTACTTGAGGCTGTCGCACATCTTTGTGCCGATTTGGACACATGTTCAACAACTGCTCCCGGCAGGGGTCCATCCCCAATCGGATCACCAGGAGTGTGATCACACTGTTGAAAATGTGAAAGGATGATGGGCAGGATTTAGATGATTACAGGCCCATAACTCTGTAAACACAGAGTTAAAGATTTTGGTCAAGATCGTGACGGAGCGTTTGCAGTCAGTTGCCGAGAGTCTGTTGGGACGCGAACAGGTCGACCATCGGTATCTGGCTGCTGCCCTGCAGGCCGCTGTATCCATACCCGACTTCTGCAAATGGATTAGCCTCCTGTATAGTTTCCCCAGTGCTGTGGTACAGGTTAACGGAAAGCGGTCACGGGTTTTTTTTTACTGTCTCGGTCGGTTCGTCAGGGTTGCCCTACTGTTGCCTCTACTTTACGCTTTGGCGTTGGAGCTTCTTCTTCGCCGGCTGAGGGACAGGGCGAGCAATGCGGCCCTACGCGGAATCGCTGTCCCTAATGAGGCTCGAGTTCTGGTTTCCGCATACGCCAATAACATCCATTTTCGTGTCGTGCCATAGCGACATTGAGGCGGTAGAGAAGGCGCTGTTGAGAGAAAGCCTAAACATTATAATTAGAAAAACAGACGATTCTTCGATAAAATCGTCTCCAGGAGTTAATGCATTATTTACACAAAATGATTTAACCCCCTTTCTTCAATAACTGGGACAGGAAATATATAAATAAATACACATTCATCATTATTATATGGTTTGATACATTACTTTAAAAAAATTATTTTCTCGTTTTTCACCAGATTTGCTTGTGCGAACTTTATCTGTTGTTTAGGGGTTAAAATAAGTTGGGGTCTGCTTCGTAGGTGTAAGTTGCAAATTTACCACCGATGCCAATAGCCTGTGATCAAGTAAAGTAGAACAGCCAATTTTGAATGTTGACATTTAACCTAGGCTTGTGGTTTTAGTTAGATTTGGTTTGTTTTACGATATATCAACCCATTGGGCTCTTTAATGTCGAAATTGAATTTTCTTGGGAACATTAGTAATTTCATTTACGAAAAAGTAATGCTGGTAATTTTTTTTTCTTTTACAAAAAATGTATTGAGGGATTTTTTTGTTACAAAAATATAAAGCTGGTAATTTTTTTAATGTATTGCTGGTAATTTTTTTTTAAATATATATTGCTGTTAATTTTTTGTTTCTTTTGTTACAAAAAATGTATTGCTGGTATATATTTTTTATTTTTCCTTACATAAATATATTGCTGGTAATTTGTATTACTCTGACAATGTATTATTGGTATTTTTACTATAAAAATGTTTATACTTTCATAGTTTTTTTACTCCAGTTTGGGGTTTAACTATTTTACCATAGCTGAGACACGAACAGGTGCTATTACCATAGGTCAGCGTAGACCTTGGAACAACAGCAATTAAGAAGGGCTTCTACGCTCCTCAAAAGCCCCAATCTTCCGATGAGAGGCCTTGCTACCGGGTGTAGTTTATCATCATACCACGGATGAGCATGCCTGTGCTGAATGAGCCAAATTAAATTCTGCTTAGCATATTTCTGTAATATATAACTATCCATACATACAAAACAAATATATATATATATATTAAAAAGAAGAGAGGTGCCGCAAATGTTGATTCCTTGTGGTCGGACGGTGTGTATGTGCGTATGTGTATGTATGTGTGTATGTGTACAAATGAGTTTACTAATTCCTCGTAGTTAGACAGTATATGTATGGAGGGGAAATATATGCACGCATATATACACGCATGCTGACAGAAAAACACCAAAATGGAAGCAGATCTAAGAACGCACAGGGGTCAGTAAAACATTAAAAGATAAAATGCCGATAAGTAATTCATCATTTCTCTTGGACCAACCTTAATTGTTTTATGACCCTTCGCGCAGAACTCTTCATTGCCAATTATAAAAAGACATTCGGATTACTAACACAAAAACAGAATGTCTCATATCGAGAATATTTAACATTGAAAAACATAAGGAAAAAATTAATTATTTTTAATAATATGTGGAAATCTCCGCTTTTACCTGAAGACGGTCACGAGATCAGAAACCCGTGTAGTAAAATTATGGAAAATAAAGCATATATTTTTTCTAAAAAAACACATTACAACCAAAAACGTTTGCGGCACCTCTCTTCTTTTTAATATACATACTTTTCTTTCGTTGGAACCACTACAACCTCTTTCTTTTATATATATATTTTATATATATATATATATACATACATATATATATATATATATATATATATATATATATATATATATATATATATATCATAATTAATTCATCGAGTCTAGAAGAAACCTCAACAAAATGCAGAAAGCACTGGACGGCCGTTTCGTCCTATATTTGGGACTCATCAGCAGTGCGCATCAACTACCGAGAATTGAAACCCGGACAGTTACGATAGGAGGCAAACGCCATACCAATGGGCCTCGGTGACGGAGAGGTAAAGAATTAGACTCGATCATATATTCCGTAGTGGAATTCATCCGAGTTTCCCTTACCCATAGGATTGTGCCTCCACGAGCTACGACTACTCTCCCCAAAGCGGTACTTGGATTCTAGTCTATGATTCTAGCAGAAGTCCCGATTCATACAGAAGTAATCGAGTCGTTTTATTCTCCACTGGTTCTATGCTTGTAGAAAAGACATGAGATAAGAAAGAAAGGTTTTAATTACTATATTTAATCAAGATATTGCTTCCTGCTTATCGATAACATAATCACATTTATTTGGTAATTTTTTGATACTTTGGAATAAAACTCTTAATCTTTTGATGGAAAGAAACACTCAATATAAGTATCAACCTCATCGCAATTAAACTGTCTTTCCTCTGGTCTGAAAAGATGATAATCAGGTGGAGCAAGGCCAGGAGAGTAAGGAGGATGTGGGAAAACTTCCGTATTTAATACTATAATCTTTTTCCTGTGTGATTCGAGCAAGTTGTAGCTCTCCGTTGTCGAATAAGAGCAACAGAATTTACGAACACCCTTTCTGAAAATTTCTGTTCAATATTTCCAATTGATGACAATGTATTAACCTCATCTTTAAGAAACAGGCAATTTCAGTTGGAAACAAACAAAAAAAGACAATAGGTTTGATCTGCTATGTGATCTCACTCCCTACACACACATACACACGCACCATATGGGGTTTCATTCTAACTGATCAGCAATAAAATACTGTAATTCAGATATTAGATGAAGAGAGAGAATAATAATAATAAGGAGGGATGTTATATTCCATTCAGCTCTAGCAAATATACAGAGGAAAAGATTTCAAACGTTTATTAATAAATAAATAAGTCTAAACTATCAAAAGAAATACCTGAGGTTGATTTTGACATTTTCAAAGTTTTTTTCTTTTTTTTAGCCTCTGACAGAAACCTTATTGAGGAATGAAGTAAATAAAAATCTAAGAAATATCAAAGACTTTAATTTTATTTCGTTTTTTGCTAGATTTTGAATGAGAGTATGTGTGCGCACGCGCGTGTGGGAGGGGCATTTTTTTTTTCAGTTTTCGATTCTAGGCATTTCTTTTCCTTTTTCTTTTTCCTTCTTTGTTTTATTCAAGATCTTCCTGTATGATTCTTTTCTTCTGTTTTTGCGTCCCTGGTATGACGATAAACTACATCCGACAGCAAGGCTTTTGATCCTGAGGTTTTGAGGAGTGTGGAACCACTTTTTAATTACTGTTTTTCCTAAGTTCCACCCTGACCCGGGTTTGTAGCACCTGTTAGGGGTGGCGCAGCTATGGGCAAATAGTTAACCTACAAACTGGTGTCAAAACATTATAAAAGTATAAAAATACATTTTTATAGTATAAATACCAGTAATACATTTTTGAAGGAAAAATATTACTAGTAATACATTTGGCTTGACAAAAACCCTCTTTACAAAAATACGGCAATGAACCTGATCTACAGTCTGATTTTTTACAAAGAATGCATATTCTCTTCATACGAACCTATCCTAAAAATCTTGCCGGCATTAGATAACCCATTGAGCTGTTGATATACCGTAAAACAAAACAAACCAAACAAAAAATATGTCAATGAAACCTGATCTACAAACTGATTTCATAAAAAAAATATATATTCTATTCATACGAACCTATCCTAAAAAACTTGTCGGCATTAGATAACCCATCTGTTGATATAAAATAAAATAAACCAAAACAAACGTCATGTTCTTTTGTTTTATCCTTCCTGGCTATATGATTTCAACTTAAATGCCAGTCTGATCAGCATAGAAAAAGATTCACTGAGAAGAAAATGCAATGACAGTCCGCCGATCTTACAATTCTCAACAATAAACCTAAATGGCCTGAACCATAAATATCATTGGTCATACGCAATAGTAACACAATGCGGTATATGATCTGGTAAAGAAAAAAATGATCTTCACGGACAGGGCTGAATTAATATCCAACGGCTTTACATACAAAAACAAAAAATGACATAAACAGACACCAACATCTCTAACATATATATATATATATATATATATATATATATATATATATATATATATATATATATATATATATATATAGTCAAACCTACAAGTCAGACAAACCTACCAAGGTTTCACCTAAGCGGATCGTCAGGGAGAGCTAGGTTTGTCAGGCTCTGTAGGTTTGACTAGGTCTGCTCTATTTTTGTATTGAGCACTTTTTTAGTTAGTTGATCACTCGTATCGGTTTTTTTTTCTTTGGGCTTTGGACCTGTATGCTTTACGAGTATTTTCGACAGACGTTCATGTTCATAACTCTTTCTTTTTTTAAAACCTTTTTTCAATTATACAATGCGTAAGATCTACTCGAAGTACAGGGTTACAGTAATAGACAATTAATTTATAGAGATGTATGGGGGAGATAACGGTTAAACCCAGACCTGATTTGTCCATTAGCAAATCAAGAAACCGAAGATTTTCCGAGACGAGTGTAGTTACCTATATATATATATATATATATATATATATATATATATATATATATATATATATATATATAATTATTTATTTATTTAAAAATTATAACATAAATGTTATAAAATCACTACAAAAATAGCCATTTTCTTTCAATACCTTATCAAGTGATGATGTTGAATGTAGATTGTAGAATAAAGGTTTTAAAAGGTTCAAATTAATTAACCACCCCTCGTAAGGGGAAACGCTGTCACATGAGCTGAAATGACCAATCAAAATACAAGTATACGAGAATTCAAAAAACTTGACAACGAAGTAAGGTTATAATAACTATTAAATGTTTTAAAGTTAGGTTTATACTAAAATAGAATTTATTCTAACTAATAAGAATTAAATTGTACGATAAAATTTGAAATTAAAATTAAAAAACTACCCATTTGAAAAATGTAAATTTAATCTATATTAAGTTTAAAATTATTGAGTAAAAATAAAAAATACATATGTTATTCTATTCATTTTATTCGTATACACCAATCATATACTTGGATATATATATATATATATATATATATATATATATATATATATATATATATATATATATGTTTCATTAAATAATATAGAATAGTGTTGTCTGTTTTATGTAAATTCTTTTCATAACGTCTGATAAGCTTAATGACATTATCATTAAATGAAGCAAGAATATCACAATACTGATACATATTTTTTAATCCAATCTAATCTTTCGGCTTACATAAGCGAATATCAAAGATGACAATTACAGTACAGTATATGAAGCAATACACGGACAAGAATGTGATGATAGTATGTTTCTGTTTACATGGATGATTTTTACGCATTTAAAACAACATGCCTGGTCGCATACACAATTCCGTAAAATCCTTGTTGAAAACATAATTATAATTAAAGATGAAAACAATAAAAAACTAAAAATTCTTGAAGCTATATACATAAAACAGTTGAAACCTAAGCTGAACAAAATAAAATATGAAATCTCCACAAATATTCTTAAATGTCTATAATTGATAACAGAAGCCATTTTTTTTATAACAACGGCTTATTCACTCTCGCGTGGTCATGTGTGACGTCATGAGTTGCGGTGCGATTTTCGCTTCCAGCTTCTTATATCGTTGCTTGGAAATCATCCATGTAAACAGAAACAGATTATCATCACATTCTTAATATATTGTACTGTAATTGCCATCTTTGATAATGGCTTATGTAAGCCGAAAGCTTAGATTGGATTAAAAAATATGTATCAATATTGTGATTTTCTTTCTTCGTTTAATGATAATGTTATTAAGCTTATCAGACGTTATGAAAAGAATTTACATAAAATAAATAGACAACACTTGTCTATATTATTTAATGAATGAAAAATGCTGTCTAAATACACACAATATATATATATATATATATATATATATATATATAAACAAGGGTAAATCAAAAATTGTCCGCACTTACGCCATAACATATCTTTAGACAAGTGTGAATAATTTTTGAGCTTCCCTTGTATCTATAAAAACAAACAAACAATTTCTGGTTTCTATTCGTCGGATCTGATGAGGTAATTTATTGCGCCTCTTATACTCAAAAATCCCAAACCATTTTCCTTACACGCGGTTCTGTCTTTCATTCCTACCCGAAGAAACCGACAACAAAATATTCATCGGCGAAATTCATTGTTTATAAGGTTTTTTTTCAACTTTGTCTTATGATCTCTACTCTTACTTTGGACATTATTATACATCTTAAACACACACACATACATATATATATATATATATATATATATATATATATATATGTGTGTGTGTATATATGACATGAATCATTCATATAAAAAAACAGATATTATAGAAGTTAATGATATAAATGGCGGGAATACATCTTCGTAAACAAATTTAATAAAGTACATTCACCCCGAACCTGTAGATGAATGTTATGATCCCTGTTTATAAATTCCAATTGCATAAGGTCCATTTTTAATAAAATTTACTTTATTTAACTTTATTAAATTTGTTTACGAAGATGTATTCTCGCCATTTATATCATTAACTTCTATATCTGTTTCTTGTATGAATGATTCATGTAATGTAAATTGAACTGCACCACATACTTGATATATATATATATATATATATATATATATATATATATATATATATTAATCATTTCTGCCAAAGCGAGGCGGCAATGCCTAGTACACAATGGAGTTCAGGGGGGGAAAAGGGCAAAAGATGAACGAGTTCAAGAAGACAGAAGATGGCGATTGACGTTGCATTTAAATTTTTGAAGATTGTAGTTCTCAGGGAATCAATGAAACGAAAAAGAGCTCCACAGGTGAGAAGTACGAGAAAGAAACTGTCGGAGTTGAAGTGGCGATTGCATTTAGCCATTTCAACAGTAAAAGAGGGGCACCGAGATGCCATTCTAGTAGCAAGCTTAAATTCATGTGTTCGGAACACCAGGGTGAAAAACATCTTCAAAGCAGTTAACATGAAAATATTTGCAGAAAAGACAGAAAAACCTATGTCACGTTGGTGAGGAAAGTCCTTGAAGTGGAGAATCCAGGTCAGAATATAATGGATTGAATCCGACAAATATTTAATATATTTTCTGATTAGACGTTATTTTTATACATACAATTTATTTAAGTAAATGCTCTGTTTTTAATCAAACAATATTAATTACATTTACTCTCCTGAATGTTCGACAAAATTTCGTAGAAAAATATGCGTTCTCCGATCGGAATCAAACCCGTATTCCCATACAGAAACCACCATTTGACACACACCATCCCAAATCACCGAAAGGTGGGATATGCCCATCTCGTCAAGATTAAAATACCGAAAAATCACCATTATTTGGAAAAAGAAAAAAAACAGTATGAAAAGAAAAACAAAACAGACACACACAGACACACAGACACAGACACACAGACACAGACACACAGACACGCACGCACACACACACACACATATATATATATATATATATATATATATATATATATATATATATATACGAGCGGCGACTACTAGCCCTTGCAATATGAGTGATCCTAGACAGCCGCCACCCCCACCAAAATATACGAGCATTCACTGAAAACAAAATGAAGTAAAATACCTATGTATGTAATTTTTATTTTTTATTTATTTGTTTTATTTAATTTTTTTTTCGTTTTATTTTTTGTTAAATAAATATAAATAAATAATAAAAAAGAATAAGACATACTCGACCTTATTGATTACACGTTAGATCAAAACTTGATCTAACGTGTAATGAATGAATGAATATGTGTGCGTGCGTGCTGCTATCTGTGTTTGTGTATTGATTATTGATGCGATCTTTGTCGTCGTTACAAATTATCGATATGTAAGAAAAAGCTTTCAGATTGAAATAAATCTTTGTTTTTTTCTTAACTCTTGTCTTCATTTGACTATATTTTTGACATCATTTTTCATCATTTTTTAAACAATTATTGTTCTCTTGTTTTTTGGTTTTATCTTTTTTTATCAGTTTTCTGCTACGTCAGTTTTTTATTACGATTATTTTATCTCTATTTATATTGTTTTGTTCCATTATTATTATTATTATTATTATTATTATTATTATTATTGATCATAATTCTAACGCATCTCCTTATTTTCTTTTCTTTCATTTTTTTCTTTCATTTTTTTCTTTCTTTCCTTCTTTCTTTCTTTCTTTCCCTGTTTACTCTCTCTTCTCATGTCTCATCGTCAGTTTATAGTCATTCTCCTTCTGTATCTTCTTCTTTTTGCTCTATTCCTTTCATCTGTTTTTCTTCTTTTCTAAATCAAGAGTTCTTCATTCTTCATTCTTTCCTTCTCTTATCTTTCGTCTTTTTTTCTTCCCAGATCTTCTGACCTGCGCGTTTAATTTCATTCTCTTAGACTCTCTTCTTTTCATTTTTCTTTACTTTCTCTTTCCTTGCCCTTCAATACCTTTCTTTCTTTCTTTCTTTCTTTCTTTCTTTCTTTTTTTCTCTTCACCCTACCTTCTTCATTTGTCTTGTCCTTCTTTCTCTCTCGGAAATTCCCCCTCCCTATTATGTTTTCTCTAGTCTATCTTCACTTTACGTGACGTCTTCTTCTTCATGTTTTCTCTTTTCTTTTCGTGTTTCTCTTCTTTCTCTCTTTTATATTTGTTTCTTTCTTCATTCTTTCTTTTTCTTCTCTTTCGCTTTATTATTCTTGCTTCCCTTCTCTTTTCCCTACCTTCCTCTTTCCCTCTTTTTTCTCGTCCTGCCTTTTTCCCCCTACCCAGTTCTCCCTAATTTTTATTCCGCATTTATTATATTTAATACACTCCGTCATCCATTTTCTTTCCTGGTCAGGCTAGACAGCGAGTGTCGGAATTTATCGTTTAGGCAATCCATTATTTTGCTATTCTTTTAATTCGATGTCTTCATTTCCTTCTTCATTTCATTTAAAGTTTTCGTTTTCCGGGCATTTTTTTTTTTAATGTCGCGTCCATCAAGAACAATTATTTGGGGACCAGGACCGCCATTTCAATTCAATTTGTGACTAAAACCTTGAAAGATTATTGCACGCCATTCGTCGACCATTTTCCACACAAAGCTGCTCCTTGTATATATTATTAGGAAGCAAGTAGGTAGGGTATATTCAATATTCACACAGGAGCACAAAGTCATGCACCTCTGTCCATGCCCACCCAAATATACAAGATAATATACACGCCTTTGTAAATATATGAAGCAATACAACTGAAGCCCGGATTAGAAAAGAGCTTGTTGTAGAACGGTGGTTAACAAGCCCACAAGAACATTGATAGATTTTGATTCTCGCAGAATACTTCTATTCCATTCCCGCGTTGAATTTAGATAATTTTGGCAAATATGAACAATCAGTTATTCTTGCAAAAATGCAAATTCAGAAATCATATAAACCGTAGCGATATACGATTATGCTCATTAAAAGAAAAATTGGAAGAATGTTTCTTCAATTGAGCGCTCACCTCAAAGGACCTGGATACGAGACACCTATCTGTAGCTCATCAGTCTTGACTCAAATATTTCAGCCTGGGTTGAGTGTAAGCATGGAGGACTGGTTTATGTCTTTATTAATCAATCCGACAGGAGGGAAGAGTTAAAGCTCCATAAAAGAGGAATCGTTCAGCCGCGACAACGATTGAAACCTACCTGACATTCTTTGCATTCCGATTTTTTTTCCAAAGTTTAGCAACAGCCGTTTTATCTCAGTTTTGAAGCACGTGTATGAACTAGAATATTATTACTTTTTCGGCATCCGTGATTTCTTTTTCGCAGACTGGATCACTTTTCGATCACATCACTTTTTCTGCATCTAGCCATAGCTACCACCCAACCTAAAACCCAACAAGGCGCTGATTTAAGGCGTAACTCTACAACAGAAATGAATTACTATATGTTTTTATGTAGAAATCGACTGCATGGAAACTTAGCTGAACTCTTAAGCGATTAACGAAGAGTTGAATCATTTGTAAAAACTCACCTCATTCCAGATTTGAAATAGTTCAAACAAATAATCGCCTCATTCCAGTTTTGAAATAGTTCAAAAATATTTGTTGATCAAGAGGACATCATCGATGTCACTGAAGTTTATAATTCATGGTGTGTCAAAGGTCGGTCTATGATATTTCATAATAGTGTTAACCCTTGAGGCGGGTGGGGGCATGAGGATCAAGCTGATATACCGTTGGTAAAGAAAATGATGGTGCAAAGTAGCTTGAAAGTGAAAGAATTCCTCTTTGAAAAAGCGGGTCACAGACAAAAGTATGCATTTTGGTGTAGCTGTCAATAAGATATCATAATGACGTCACAGGAGGTTAATTATGGTTATTAGGTAGATAAATATAATGTTTCTCTCTGTTGGTAATACATTTATGGGGTCTAGATTGAACCAGTACATTGATTGATGTTTAGATGGTCGCCATTTTGAAATTAAGCAAATTAGTCATCTTCTCGGGGTCTGATTTTGGTAAACTTTCATTCTTGGATCAAGCACAACCCAATTAGGTATCTAAAACAAAAAAAGGTTTTGTATAATTTTTTTTTTTGGGGGGGGGGTTGAATCTAATTTTTGATATATTGAGCTGACTAAATAAAAACAATGTGATGTGCTAACTACAACTAACAAAATGGTTCATTCTGAAACAAAGTCTTGAAAATATCGATTTTTTTTTTTTGTTTCTCATGTGTTTTCAAAACTTTTGGGAAAAATTTTTCTTTCTTTTTTTTCTTTCTTTTTTTCTTTTTTTTTTTTTTCTTTTTTTATTTGTTTCATTCCCTTAAGTATACATTCGTTGCATATAGGCTCCAAAGTCGATTAATTATTCATATTTTATAAATATTGAAAATATCCTTAGATGTTTGCAGCTTGTTTATTTATTGTGCATAGCAAATGAGTTACAGATTTTAAGAATTTACATAAAACCCCGCAAACAGCTGGAATAAATCATTTAAATTTCTAGTTTTATTTGAGGACGAAAATTGGCGACAAAATGTTGCATCTAAGAATGTCTATAAATGCTGACGGTTCATCTCCAGCTTTAAAAGTATTATTCGATTGGTCATTTTTCTCTCCCTCATCCCACTCTTCATCTATCTCTATTTCCCATTCTCTTTTTTTTCTTTTTTTTTTCTTTTGCTCTCTCTTATTCTCGCTCTTCCTCTCTCTTGTTTGCCGCCTTTTAAATGGTCATTTTCTTTTCTATTATCTTTTCTGTGAGTCGTTTTCTTCATGTCTTTATTTTTTCTTTGTTTTTCTATCTTACATTTGAAATTTAACATAAGATAAATCACAGATTCTTTTTATTCAGTATCTTTTGGCTTCTTCTCCCCTTTATTTATTCTTTCAACTTTCCATCCGATTCTTTTGGCTTCTTCTCCCTTTTATTTATTCTTGCATATGTCTAGCCAAGTCTTTCCCTAAGTATCTCTTTCTGTATAGCCTTCTCTTTCTCTCTCTCTCTCTCTTTCTCTTTTTCTTTTTTATCCCCCTTTGCATCCTCTTTTATTTTTTCTCCCTCTTTACTTACTTATTCATTTATATCTGGCTTTCTTTAAATTTCCTTTTTCTTTTTATTCTTCTCTTTCTTGGCCTTTTCAATTCTTCTTACTCTATCTCCATCTTAACTTTAATCTCAAATTCTTACTCGATTCGGATAAAATCAAAAGTTTTCTTGTTCTTTTTGATTAGCTAAAATTATTTATCTTCCAGCGTTCCTTTCTTTCTTTTTTTCTTTTTAAACCGGAAGTTATGCGTGGAATCTCTCTAGTTTTCCTCGATTTCTTGTCACAATAAACTAAGAGAAACAATATCGATGAGACAGCGACAAAGATGGGTAGAGTGAGAGGAGAGGAAGAAAGAAGTAAAAACAGATGAAGAGGAGGAGAGAATATAAAAAGCGTAAAGTGTTGCGTAAGAATTTGGGATTGAAGTTAATATGAAGATAGAATGAGAAGAAAAAGTGAAAAGGCAAGTAAAGAGAAGGATAAACAGAGAGAAAGATAAAAAAAAATCATGGAAATAAAAATATTTTTTATATTATGTTAGGAGTTCACTTACTTTTTCTGCAGCAATCTACATATTAAGGATACAGATGAGATTATTGAAGACACTTTCATTTCTCATAAGCAAAAAACTACTGATTTCTAATTTAATATAAAAAAATATATATTCCGAACATGTCTAATGAAAATTGCCAATTGACGTGGCTTAAAATGATTGGCCCATGATGTTAGCCATTAGGGTCATGTAATCATGTCGTGGAACAACGGGGAGGCAAACAATCTAAATAAATGACAAGAAAATTTTTAATTATGAGATGCGTTATCCAACGATTTTAGTTTAGCTTTATCAAAATTAACCATCGGTTCAGTTGCCATAATGATACTTTAAATATTACAGTGCAGCTTCTATTTTCCTTGGGTTTTGTTGTATTAAATGCAGTAGAAACTTGTTATGAATTACAAACATCATAAACACTAGACTTGAGGACATTATGAAATTTTTATGAGCTATGGACATCATAAAATTCGATTTAATTACGATATAAATCTGTTATTAGTTATAAACATCGTAAATTCAGCGTTATGTAATCATCATAAACTAAATCTGGATAGGCAGATGACATACACATACACACACGCACACACACACACACAGGCGCACACACACACACACATATAAGTGAACACCGAGGTCAACACCGAGGGGAGACAGTCTGTTTCATGCCTGACCGCAATCTTCAGACCATGAAGATTACGTTCATGTATGAAACAGACTGTCACCACTCGGTGTTGACATTAGTGTCTACTTTTATATTTACATACGCACTCAGATATTGAGGACTTTACCCATAAATATAACATAACATAAATCTAAAGTATCATATAATCATCTATATATGTGCGTGTGTGTATACGTGCGTGTGTGTATGTGTGTGTGCGTGTGTGTATACATAGATAATATATATATATGTATATATAGTGCCACATTAATGTTTGTGAACCCCCACCCCAGGCATGAAAATTTTTCCTGTGAAAGAAGTTAATATAAGCCTATTAAATATGCATCCAGACACCAATTTGTAAAGCAGACTTTCCAAATAATGAACACAAACAATAAACGGTGTATTTTAATTATTTATTTAAAAACGTTATTTATTTCTCCAAAACTAAAAATCTGAACTGTACAAAAATATGTGAACCTCCTCTGTGTTGGTAACGTCAGGTATTAAATAAATTCAGCTGAAACACATTTGGGTGCTTAATTATTCAATATAAGCTGACCAATCAAATGAGACATCCTTAGTAAATTGTTTGTCCAGCCCAGATTATAAAAGAGGGGATACTGTTTAAGCTGATGTAATGCCTCACAGATCAACAATGCCGAGAGGAAAGGAGATATGCGATGACATCAGGAGGAAGTTACTAACTTCACCAGTCTGTGGGAAGCTATAAGATCGTTTAAAAAAAGATTGCAGTTCCATCCATCCACTGTAAGACAAATAATTTACAAATGGAGACATTCAATATGACCACAACTCTTCCTAGAAGTGGACCCTCATTAAAACTATCACCAAGAAACACTAGAGAAATAAATGAGGTAAAAGCCAACCTACACATCACCTCAAGAAAGTTGCAGATCTCTCTGGCAGCATCTGGAGTAAATGTACATGTGTCTACAATCAAATGAAAAATTGAATGGACATGGCATCCATTGGAGAGTTGCTAGAAGGACAAGAACAAAGCTGCCAGTTTAAGTCAGAGAACATTTGGACAAACCATAGGCTTTCTGGAAGTCCATTCTCTAGAAAGATAGAATTGTCTGGTCACAATCAAAACTGCCATGTTTGGAGAAAAGCCAACACTGCTAGCCGTGCAAAGAACCTCATTCAAGCAGTGAAGAATTGTGGTGGAAATATTATGATCTGGCTCTGCTTTTCTGCCTCTGAACCTGGACAACTCCATATTATCCAGAGAAATATGAATTCTCAGTCCTATCAACAAATTCTGGATCAGAATTTCTTACCATGTCAGAGAGTCGAAGATTGGCCGAAAATGGGTTCTGCAACGGGACAAAAACTCTAAGCATACCAGAAAAACTACCAAGGAATGGCTTAAAAGGAAGAGGACTCGTACTATGGATTGGCCTAGCCAATGTCTGGATCTCAATCGAATAGAAATGTTCTGGTTAAACCTGAAGCTGACGGTTCATGCCAGATGCCCCTCCAACCTCTCTCAACTGGTTGGGTTTTGCAAGGAGAAGTGGGTAAAAATCCCCAACAGCACATGCGGGAGATTTGTCAGTGGCTACAGAAGACGTTTGGTTGAAGTAATCGCTGCAAAAGATTCCACAAGGTACTAACTAAAAGGGTTTACATACTTTTTTACATGTCGAATTTACAGTTTTGGTTAAATAAATCTCTTTTTTTTAATAAATAATTAATTTCTTATTTGTGTTCATTATTTGAAAAGTCTACTTCTCAAATTGGTGTTTAGATTCACATTTAATAGACTTATTTTAAACGTGTTCGCAATAACAATGACCTTGTCTGGGGTGTCACAAACTTTCAAAAAACTCTGTATATATATATATATATATATATATATATATATATATTTCTAAGGAATTTATAAATTTTTAATCTGACATATTCACCTATTCGTCCAAACGTTATTTTAATGGATATATGTTTGAAAATATGCCATTTTCTTTAAACAGTGTGAATTATGTCTACTGGGTTGCGTATTCGAGTGACTTAACTGGTCTTATGCAGGATACGAAACCACCGTAAAACAACTTTCCTGATATATATATATATATATATATATATATATATATATATATATATATATATATATCCGAATATAATGAGAACAAAAGTAATATATAAATTCTAACATTCGCAGCATTAATTCAAAAAAGGGTTCAATTCTCAGAGTAGTGCAATAATTATTTATTATAATTTTTTCATGTAGACAAAAACAATTTACTCACTACAAAGATGTAACCTTGTTTCGATGCATTTACTTGCACCTCGACTGCTGAGAACCAAAGATGGTTATGACACAATTCTGTTTGTAAGCAGGACGCTCGTGGAACGTCACTTCCTTTTTTTCTATTTGTTTGAAAAAAAAAAACATTTTAAGAGAGGGACGTAGAAAGATAAAGAAAAGATAGGTAGGGTGACAGAGTGCCAAATTGCTATCAACAAGCACTATTTGGACAGGAAATGACTTTTAAATGTTAACGGTTCCAAAACTATCTCTTTAATCACCATAGAGAACATTTTCGCCTTCCATCAACACGACTGACGCTAACATCGTGGATAGCAACTCGTTGCGCCTCGTTGGTCTCACGTTTTCCACTAACATGAAAGGTGGCTGATTATATTGAATCAATTGTAGATCCCTTGCTATGAAAGTTGGTTCACTGTATCGGACAGGACAAAAGTTTTCTCGCCAGAATCCCTTTTGCACATTTTAAAATCTACAATTCGCCCATGCATTGTATATTGGTGCCATATCTGGTTTGATGCACCTGCTATACGTCTCGATATTCTCGACAAAATAAAAACGGGTGTTTCATTAAGACGGATTATATATAAGGGTGTTTCATTAAGACGGATTATATATAAGGGTGTTTCATTAAGACGGATTATATATAAGGGTGTTTCATTAAGAGGGATTATATATAATGGTGTTTCATTAAGACGGATTATATATAAGGGTGTTTCATTAAGAGGGATTATATATAAGAGTGTTTCATTAAGACTGGTCAAAGCAGTAAATAGATTAGTGTTATTTGTGAAAATTGATTTATTTATCTATTGGATCATGTTATTTAAGTCATGTCAATCATGTGTGAAAATAATATCGATCCAACTTACTGGAACACCCTTAATAACTATCCTGGCCGAGCATCACAACTTCAGTCACTTTTCCATCGAAATGATGTGTTTTTTTTACGTCTTTTCTGTAAATATTTTCATGGCAGTTGTTCTGACGAACTCTCGTTTTTGTTAATCTAACAATGTCAATTTAAGCGTACATCTAGATTGACAACTAGGCGTCGTCAATTTACTGCTGAAATAACTAGAGGTAACAGTAAGTTATATTCCAATATTTTCATTTTCCGCCGGTGGAAGGTCCCTATAATCTTCACAAATTTAAATGCAACGCCAATCGCCACTTTCCGTCTTCCTGATATCTGTTCTTTTATTGTCCTTTCTTCTCACTAAAGTTTCCTCATTCTCTTACACTCTCAGTAAACCCTTGCGTCTTAGCGACATTATCACCTTGCTTGTCTGTGGTAAAATTATTAAAAGAAGACAGAGAAGATATATATATATATATATATATATATATATATATATATATATATATATATATACACACCAGTGATTTCGGCAAACTCCGCCATAACTTGTGGAATGAGCGGGGTATTCGACTGGATACGAAAATTCGGGTTTACAGAGCTGTTGTTCTTGCCATCCTTTTGTACGGCGAAAAGTCGTGGACTCCATACAGGTACCATATACGCCAGCTAGATGTTTTCCATAAAAGTTGTCTGCGTGTAATCTGTGGAGTTAAGCTTCAAGGTAGGACATCTAACGTAGACCTATTTAACAAGTGTAATATTGAAGGAATCAAGACTTTTATCATACAGTCTCAGTTACGGTGGACTGGTAATGTCTTGAAAATATGTGATGACAGGATACCCAAGATCCTAATGTACAGCCAGTTAGATAAGGGCTACAGGAAGGTAGGACGTCCATGGCTAAGATGCAAACACAAGTTGAAGAGCAACATGTCAGCTTGTCAATATACCTCATAACACCCTCGAGGGCTTTGCCTTGGAGCGGGTGGAATGGAGACCAACGTGTTTTGGTGGACTCAGCAGTTTTCAATCAGCTTGCCTGAATCGTCTTCAAGAAGCGAGAGCAAGATGTAAAAGGTCAGCCAATCTAACAGTTATCTCACTCCACAATCCTTACTCTTGCTTCATATGCGGCCTTCTTTTGTAAATCACTAGCGGGTCTTAAGTGTCACTTAAGATTATCGCACAAAATTTCATAACTGAATCAATTAAGATGTCAGACCCTCATACGTCGAAACCGATGGGAGAGTCCATATATATATATATATATATATATATATATATATATATATATATATATATATATGCACATTTCATTGAATAGGACAGACAAGGTGCTTTGATTTAGTTCTTTCTACAATTTCTCATGGGATCTAATAGTTAATCACCTCTTAGAGCAAAATTAAATAGGTTAAACATTATTTACGAATTTAGATGCCCATTAAGGAATTGTATTCCTGATCCTCAAACATTGCAAATAATTATAAGGCCATACTACAACAAGTTTGATACGAAGGCTCACTTTACACCTTTCTGATCATAGCTCAATTAGATCTCATTTAAATATTCATGGAGACCTACCAGAACCTATTCGTAACATACTTGTTGACAACAGAAACATAATAGCATCATGCAAAAATCAGGCCTAAAAATAAGGGAAGCCTTATTAATAAAACAAAAAAAAACAACACTCAATAATATCAACTATGAACATGGCCACAATATCTTGACCGTGTTTTGAAAAATGAAAACATAATATAAATACATACATGCAACAAACTATTATTATTTAACAGTTAAAATATTTAATCCTTGAAAATGGCTAAATGTATAGCCGAAAGCGCTTGGAAAAAAGAACATTCGGACAGTTTTTATATAATTTCTTATCTGAAAAGAAAAAAAATTATTAGATCCCATGAGAAATTGTATAAAAAACTAAATCAAAGCACCTTGTCTGTTTTATTCAATGAAATGTGCGTGAAAGAAGGATTGCTGCCTAAATACACAAATTTAATATATATATATATATATATATATATATATATATATATATATAATTATTTATTTAGAAAATTTATAACATAAACATGTTATAAAATCACTACAAAAATAGCCATTTTGTTTCAACACTCCCGGTGTCTTATCAAGTGATGATGTCGAATGCAAAACAAATGGTTGTAAAAGTTTCAAATTAGTTAACGATCCTTCACAACGTTAACTAATTTGAAACTTTTAAAACCATTTGTTTTTATCATCAGCAGTGCACATCCACTACCGAGAATTGAAACCCTGACAGTTAGGTTGTCAAACAAACATCACGGAATATGTGAGTGAGCGGCGCTTTGTTGAGTCTGATTTGCAATCTGTTCGTCGCCGAGGCCCATTGGAACAGTTGTTATGATGTTTGCTTGACGACCTAACTGTCAGGGTTTCAATTTTCGGTAGTGGATGCGTACTGATGATGAGTCCCAAATATAGGATGAAACGGCCGTCCAGTGCTTTCTGCATTCTCTTGAGATTTCTATCAGACTCAATGAATTACTTTTATATATATATATATATATATATATATATATATAAAATATATAAATTTGTCTATGGTCTTCATAATGTCGTTTTAATCAGCTTTGTTTGGAATGTTTCCAGATGTTAAACAATCTGCTGATTGTATCAGAATAAAGAACCTGCGGGTATCCAAAATTTACACGTCTAGCTTTTGAAAAAAATTGCCTTCAATGAAGAACGTGTTGATTTATTAATGATTTTCAGTCTTTGAACTTTTTCATTAAGTCTTGGTGGTGAGTCAAGATGAAGAAATTCTTTAAGATTAAAAAATACGCTTTGTACATTTATCCCACTTCTCTGCCTTCTCTGCCTCCTTTCGCGGGAATCGACATCCAAATTTATTGTCTGCTATTTTAAATGCGCCCATTTTTTGGGCATCTCACATTGGTTGTAAAAGACGCCGAAAAATAAACAATATTACATATTTATTAATAGTGGCCTAATACTATGAAGTAGGAGAATAGGCATTACTTGCCGAGATAGATAGATAGATAGATAGATAGATAGATAGATAGATAGATAGATAGATAGATAGATATTAACAGACTGAGATAGAGAGATAGATATTAACAGACTGAGATAGATAGATAGATAGATAGATAGATAGATAGATAGATAGAGAGAGAGAGAGAGAAACAGATAGATAGATAGATAGATAGATAGATAGATAGATAGATAGATAGATTAACAGACTGAGATAGATAGATTAACAGACTGAGATAGATAGATAGATAGATAGATAGATAGATAGATAGATAGATAGATATTAACAGACTGAGATAGATAGATAGATAGATAGATAGATAGATAGATAGATATTAACAGACTGAGATAGATAGATAGATAGATAGATAGATAGATAGATAGATAGATATTAACAGGCTAAGATAGATAGAAATAGAGAGATTAACAGAATGAGATAGATAGATAGATAGATAGAAATAGAGAGATTAACAGAATGAGATAGATAGATAGATAGATAGATAGATAGATAGATAGATAGATAGATAGATAGAAATAGAGAGATTAACAGAATGAGATAGATAGATAGATAGATAGATAGATATTAACAGACTGAGATAGATAGATAGATAGATAGATAGATAGATAGATAGATTAACAGACGGAGATAGATAGATAGATAGATAGATAGATAGATAGATAGATAGATAGATAGATAGAAATAGAGAGATTAACAGAATGAGATAGATAGATAGATAGATAGATAGATAGATAGATAGATAGATAGATAGATAGATAGAAATAGAGAGATTAACAGAATGAGATAGATAGATAGATAGATATAGTTAGATAGATAGATAGATAATGAACCGACTTAAATCGATATGAATAAAGAAATATATAGATTGTGGACATAGAAATTAACACTGTAATGTCATAGTCAATAACATACTTCAAGTATCTTCAAATCGTCTGATGATCCCTTGAGGCGTGAATGTGATGGTCACCCTGAAGTGCTGATTCCTATGCTCACACTGTTTATATCTGTAAACGCTCTATCTCTGATGCTGAACACTCTTCCCTCATAAATATAGCAAATTCTAAACGATATATTTATCTATGTGCGTGAGTGTGTGTTCATGCGTGCTAGTCAGATTGTTTATATGGCTAAAAATTACCAAAAAAATAAAGTTGCATGTCGACTCCCGAGAATATTTGATGGATGGAATAGTTTCGCTTTTCAATAAGGTATTTTAATATAAAGAAGTTGCTGCTATAAATCACGCATCTTATCTTTCATTCTAGCTTTTTATCTTTGTCAAAAAGTAATTTAAACGCTCTCTGACTCTGCATAATAAAAGATGGCGGACCAACGGACATATGTACAATATCAAAAAAAAGACAAGAGAAGATTTTTAAAAAAGGATTTCAAATATGAAAGATCAAGAACAAAGTGGTATATTTCTAGGATATCACAACTTTTACAAGTAGACCGATGTATTTTTAGTTTGCAATTCGTGTACATTGTTATGAATCTAATATTTTATACGTGTATAAATCCTTTTTAATATTTGTTTGTTTAATAATTGTTTGTTTAATAATGGGAAATTGAGATTCTCATAGCAAAAGGTTAGAGGGCAAAGTTTGGGTTGACTGATTTTATGACAACACTATCTGGTTGATTTTATTTCGAATTGTGGGAAACTCGGTGTGCATCGAAATCACGAGCAATAGTCAAAACTGAACAGGCTACACTCGTTAACCGTTACCTCATGCCCATGTTCTTATAGTGATAGACAGATATATACTAATAGGCCACATATAAATGAAAATACACACTTATAAATAGGATATAACCGCTTGAGTAATATATAAAAGCAATGTGTCTGGCATTATTTCAACATAGATAGATAGATAGATAGATAGATAGATAGATAGATAGATAGATAGATAGATAGATAGAACGGCTGAGATAGATAGATAATGAAGAAATTGAGCTAGATAGATAGATAGATAGATAGATAGATAGATAGATAGATAGATAGATAATGAAGAAATTGAGCTATCTAGCTACCTACCTATCTAGCTACCTACCTACCTAGTTAGCTAGCTAGCTAGCTAGCTAGATAGATAGATAGATAGATAGATAGATAGATAATCTTGAATACACCTACATACATTTATATGTATTTATTCATGCACATATTTTGCGTGTACCAACCAAACTACGTTCATATAAAGCAGTAAAAAAGAATTGAGCTCCTTTGATTTCTTAAACATCTCTGATCACAAGCTGGGGTTCCGCCCTGACGAACATCTGGAACCGCGAACCTATCGTTAGATGCCAGAGTTTGAAAGCGTGCCCTCTTCAGGTTCCCCGCATCTCTAAGCATGCAAGAATACCACGAGAAAATCATTGACAACATCGACTCAGGTATAACCGTAGGCAACCTGTACATTTATGTCGAAATCAAAGGCAGGCTTTTTTTTTTTTTAATTTAAGTTCTAACTTCACTGCAACTTCGGAAAATCTGATGACACACCACAAGATGCCCAATTCATGGCCTCCTATCATTGAAAGTTAATCACATCAAATCAAAGTCATCAGTTTTTTTTTTCTATATTTGCTCAACTTAAATACAAAATCAATATTTTATCTAAGTATTAGGTCTACTCATAAATAATTTGTTTTCGATTATCAACTTTGTTCTTCAATAAAGTACAATCGCATTTTATTCAATTATATATCCGCCATTATTTGAAATAACTTGTTACCCGTAATCAGACATTTTTTTTAATAAAATTCCGCAGTTTTTGACGTGAAATAGATGAGTCTAGCGTTGAATTGGATGAGAATTTACGAGCAAATCATTCAGCCTTATCAGCTGAAGAGGTTAGGACATCAATTTGGTTGAATAAAAGGGATATTGTGGGTTTTCTGTTGTTCAGCACGCTTTTGCAGAGCCGCCAATAATCTTTGGGATATCTTCATTACAATTGATTCCCCAAAATAGAAATTACGTCTGATTTAACCTAATATAATAATTTTAATTCATATAGAAGTCAAGTAAGCATGTGCCTCGCAGAAAGTTGTGTATCCGAAATATAACTATCACCTGATTTGAAGTATGCAAAACTGCCACCGTTTTTCTTAACCATCTGACATTGGTTTTGAAAGGCTCCAAATATAAACCACAATATATCCCGAGTAACAGTGACCGAGTAGTATGAAATAGCAACAAAAAAGAAATCAGCGGCTTTGATTTCTTACACGTCCCTGATCACAAGCTGAGGTTCCGCCCTGGCGAACATCTTGAAGCACGAACCTATCGTTAGATGCCAGAGTTTGAAAGCTTGCCCTCTTCAGATTCCCCGCATCTCTAAGCATGCAAGAATACCACGAGAAAATCATGCACAACATCGATTAAGATATAACCGTAGGCGACCTGTACATTTATGTCGAACTCAAAGGCAGCTTTTTTGAGATTTAAGTTTTAACTTCAATGCAATTCCGTAAAATCTGATAACACGCCAACCGTGATTTGATGCCCAATTCACGACATCCGACGATTCAAAGTTACTCTCGTCAAATCGAAGTCATAAGGCCTTTTTAGATTCGCCCAATTTCAAATAGAAAATCAATATTTTATCTAAGTAATAGTCTGAGTAATAGTCTGACTTTCATTATCAACTTTATTCTTCACGTGACACAGTCGATAAAAGCGTTGACTGGATCCAAAGACTTAGCCCAAAGAGTTGCGAGTTCAATACCTGCTTACTGCAGTGGTGAACAGAAACTTGTAGAGATGAGTAAAAGTGAGATAACTGAGACATCCGGAAGAGGCACGGCAATCGACCCCAGTGAACGAAATAAAGGGTTCAGTTCAAAATTCCAATCACCTGAAGAAGGTCGGAGCGTACAACGGCCGAAATGTTGTGAATATAGAAATAAAGATAACAACAAAAGTACGAATAATGTAAATAATTATTATACCCTATCTCAGAAATATAGACAGGTCCTGACGAAGGCTAGAGTGTACAATAGTCGAAACGTCGTGAAAATGGCAATAAAGATGAAGAAAACAGTCTGAACAATGTAAATTATGCACATAATTAAAATACCTCATCTCAGAATTATAGAAGGCTGGAGTGTACAACGGCAGAAACGTCGTGAATATGGCAATAAAAATGAGGACAACAATCCGAACAATGTAAATAATGCCAATAATTACAATACCTCATCTCAGATATATAGAGAGATTCTGAAGAAGGCTAGAGTTTACAACGGCCGAAACATCGTGAATATGGCATTAAAGATGAAGAAAACAGTAGATAATGTAAATAATTACCTCATCCCAGAGAGATATAGAATTGCATGTTATTCAACTATACATTCACCATATTCATAATTCGTTGCCTCTTCTCAGGCAACTCTTCGATACCTTTTGAATAAAATTCCGTAGGTTTTAATGAGAAAAAACTTTCGCCGAAATTCTAAATCTTGTTTTCATTACAGAAAGTTTTTTTTTTCCAATTTCCCCCAAGCGTTTTGCAATGATTGAAAGAGGCAATAATAAGGTCAGTGAATAGGGCAGTTGGGATACAACAGACCAGTTATGTTCCAATATTTTCCCGTGTTATACTTGCTGTATTCGGGCATACACTTATATGAAACGCTTATAGATATAGGCGTTGGTTATGAGTGCTATTGTCAACGGGTAACCGTAGCATCAATCTTTGTGTCAGCAATAGAAAATTATGCACTCTGGTCCCGCAGAAATGAGCAATAAAACCACCATGGAACCATAACAACACAAGAATCACCTCATACAAAATATTCGCTGACAACTTAAAATGATCACCTGAAGATGGTCGTAGGTTAGACGGCCGAAACATTGTATCTTTAATAACATCAAAAGATGAGAAAAATAAATTTAGTTTGGGGGGGGTGGAGATAAAAAGTGAAAACTTTTACTTAAACTTTTTCTTTTGCAAAAGTAAGTTTGTAATGAGGAGCCTCACAAAGCCGACGATGCAAAGTTCATCCAAAATTCGAAGCGATTGAGTCTACTGAACCACTTTCTGAGGCCGTTGTACGCTCCGTCCTTCTTCAAGTTATTGAAATTTCGAACCGGACACTTTATTTCGTCCACCGGGGTAGATTTTTCTAGTTCCACGTGCCAGGCCTCTTCCGGACGTCTCAGTTATTTCCCTTTAACTCAACTCTCCAAGTTTCTGGTTCACCACTACCGTCATCTATTGAACTCACAACTCTTTGGGTCTATTCGCTGGATCTAACCACCGCCTTTATCCACTGGGCCATGTGTCCTTGAGGATATCTGTGTATGGATCTCTGGAACTTATAAACCTTATGTCTTTTTTTTACCATTTTGTTATGGTCCAGGTTAGGACCAAGGAAGAACAACACGAACACAAGAGTAGAAATAACGAAGGTATATTACACGAAATAATAATACAAGATGTGGAAGGTGTTAGTATGACTGTCAGCCTGGTTTGGAGTGAACTACTATCGGCTCGACTCGATTTGACCCTCTCTCTTGAGAGGCGTAGTATACATAGTGTTAGGAAGAGTTCATTCTGTAGTTATAGGTAAGGACCCATGACACCCCCTCCCAAGCTTTTACGTCGCAGGGGCCTTTAATATTTTTTTCCTCTTCGGATTAATCATCAAAGGCTCTATAAAATTTCTTTTTCTGCTTGATTTCCGCGATTCTGAAATTGTTTGAGGTCTTTGCGATAGTTGTTATTCTTCGTTATTTCTACTCTTGTGTTCGTGTTGTTCTTCCTTGGTCCTAACCTGGACCATAACTATATTGAATGTGTCAAATATTGTGCCCATTACTTCCTCCTCTTCCTGAGGTAGACCGTTAGAATCCTCTAACACATTTAAAAATATATTTAGAGATTTTTGATAAAATCTAAAGAAGAATCAGTAATTTTATTGGTCCTGACCTGGCCTCTCGGCTTTAGTCATTTTCCTACCTCGGTAACTTGTACTTGTTCTATAATTATGGTAATTATTCTGATGAATTTTCGTCTATGGTGCCGAGACATTATGAATTTAAGCGCAGTACTAGATTGGCGGTAAGGTCTCATCATTTTACAGTTGAAATGGATAGATATACCTGCAAATTCTATACTAACAGTTTCTTTTCTCGGACTTCTCACTTTTGGAACTCTCTTACGGCTTCTTGTTTTCAAGTCAGGTCCTCAAAAATTTATATGCAATTCCTGTTCTTTTATTGACCTTTCTTCCACATATTTTTTTCTCATATTCTCTCATACAAAATAACCCCTTGCGTCTTAGTGGCTTTATTGTCTTGCTTGAGGGGAAATGATTAAATTAATATACATCAGTTGACACCAACCCTTTCTTAAGGTTTTTGGGTGTTGTCTGAAAATCCAAGAGAGTAACTTACCTCACCTTCTCGGGCTAACGTTCTCGGCTGACAAGAAATGAAAAGACTATATTGAATCCGTTGCTAGGTCAGCTACTATGGAAGTTGATTCATTGTCATTCTAGACAGTTTTTCTCTCCTGAACCAACTTTGCATATCTATAAGTTTACTATTCGTCTATGCTTATAATATGGCTGTCACATGTAGTCCGTTGCTCCCTGTATATACCCAGAGATCCTTGATGAAATTCAAAGAAGAATCGGCAATATTATTGGTCCTGATCCGGCCACTCGGCTCCAGTATCTCTCCTACTGTCTTAAAGTTGCTTCCTTGCGCCTTTGTTTTATAAATAATTTCATGGAAATTGTTCGAATGAACTCTTTGCTAAGGTACCTATGCTTTTTGAATTTAAGCGCAATTTACATTTGGGTTGGCTAGATGTAACCGTAAGTTCTAAACTAACAATTTATTTTCTCTCAGTTCTCCCTTTTGGAACGGTCTTCCGGTTTCATGCCTTCCAGATAACTTTAAACTTCAAATCTGTGAATTCAATGTCATTCGCTATCTCCTGATTACTCTTCTGAAGGAGACACGGTGGAATAATGAACAGCGGCTAATGTAGAGAAATCGGAGAGCCGAGTTCGAATTCCAGTCGTATCCATTACATTCACTGACTTGCTAATACCCTTGGGAAGAACATTAATCCCTTCTTATTTCCCCAGCTATGGGTAAATAGCAGGATAGACTGAGCTGTATAGCGTTGGGTGTGGCGAAATGATTAAAATAATATACACCAGTTGACATCAACCCTTTCTTAAGGCTTTTTGGTGTCGTCTGAAAATCCTTTAGAGCAAATCATTTATAAACAAGACTTATTTAAATTCTTTCTTGCTCCGTGACAGACTCTGTGATTGATAGGCGACAAACTGACTCCGAGAAAAGAATCAGAAGTCTTTAATGAAGACATCTAGAGACAAAATAGTAATAACAGTGTCTGTGTTTTGTATTAGTTGTTATGGGCGTTTGACAAGACTCATGTCAAGAATCAATTGTAGACATATGTTCAGCTTATTCTAGCAGAGCAACCAGTTTAATTAAAAAAAACAAGAATCCTTTAACAATTGTATTTATCCGTCATTTTGTTATTTCGCACGACCGTTCCGCCCTGCCAATACCGCATAAATAATGGACTATTCTGTTTTGATCGTCTAGAAAGAGTAGAAAAGACCCTACTTGGTTTCAGTTAGAAAAAGAAAGAAAGAAAGAAAGAAAGAAAGATGGTACAAGTGTTTACCGTCTCCTGCCAATACCTTATAAATAAATTACTATTCTGTTTTGATTGCGTGGTAAAAGAGGAAAAGACACTACTTGGTTTCAGCTAGAAAATGAAAGAAAGAAAGAAAGAAAGAAAGAATGTGTTAATGGGTCCACCCCTTTTTATACAAGTGGACCAGTGTGTACTTGTACTGCTGCCGGTGAATACCCGGAAGTCAGACAGTGTGATACAGTGCGAGAGTGAGAGTGGGAGGTAACCGCTTTGTAGGAGTCACAGTTGCGAGCACGTAGACTCAGAAGCAAGTCATACTTCGGTACTGAATTTTTCAGACTGTATATATATTATTATTGCTACTAACCGCATTTCTGGATCTACTAACCGTATTACCAATTGTATTATTACGTCAATAATTTATTTGTTATATTTCATTCCTGCGTTTGTCATTCATTTGAGACCGGATTTCATCCCGGATTTCACAAAAGAAAGAAAGAAAGAAAGAAAAAACGTAGTGTAAAGTGTTTAACGTCTCCTGCCAATACCCTATAAATAAATTACCATTCTGTTTTGTTTACGTGGAAATTCATTACTTGGTTTCAACTAGAAAATGGATGAAAGTAAGAAAAAAGTGTAGAAGGTCTACTGCCAATGCCTCATAAGTAATGGAGTATTCTGTTTTGATTGCGTGGAAAGAGGGGAAAAGACACTATTTGGTTTCAG